TAAATCAAAGTCCAAAAAAAATGCTAAAGTGAGTGATTATCGCATCATATGCACGGGGTTCGGCGAAGTGACCGTTTATTAGACCAAAAAGGCCCCAAAGGAGAAGGGGATAACAATATTTGATGTCCTTTCTCGTTTAACCCTACTCTTCTTTATTGTTTATACTCTCGCCATTTGTCCCGAAGACGTAGAACTCCGGTCCCCGGTCTGCCGGACTCTTTCTTCATACCGTCAAGGCATCCTTGAACCCTACGTCTATCCACCTATACGTGCCGCATTAGACCATCCTTCCGTTCAACCACATGTCCAGCGCATCCAGCCATATTACGACGGTGTGATCAAAATTACCAAACCCGTCATCCGTCGCGGACGACATGAATGGAGGACAAAGGTTCTTCCCCAGATTCGATGGATACAAATACGTGCTAGGCCATATGTTCGAAAAGCGCAAAGGCAATTCGATAAGGCCTTCGGACCATCTATCCGTCAGCTATCAGTTCAATACCATCTCAAAGTGGCTCCTCACGTCACGAAACTCGAAGTTCAACTCCAAGATCAATGGACCACTGCCAAACCATGGGTTTATCCTCTCTGGAGAACCGTTCAACGTTTACCTATGTTCATCAGACTGTTTGTTTTCAAGCCTCTAGGTCAGGCAAGGCAACAATTTGTCGACCCTCACATTGCGAAGATCTGGGATTCTATCACGGAGCAAGCTAACACGAATAGTATTAAAAGCTCTACATCGTCTGCTCTATCCCGAGAGTTTCCCAGCTCTACTGTTCCTTCTGAGGATGTGCCTTCGCCGACCTCGGAGCAAGCAATTATTTCTGCATCGGATTTGGACCCTACACCTACCCCTGAACCTGAAGTTCTGAAGGAGGAGATAGAGGCTGAAGCTACTCCTAGTCCCCAACCTACCCAAGAAATCTTGGAAGAAACAGAAACAGTTGAGGCAGAGACCATCGTGGCGGAGACCATCGAGGTTTCTGCTCCTGCCATTGAAGTGGAAGTTCCCGTCCCCCCACCAACTGATGCAGCAGCAGAGGCCGCAGCATCGGTTGTCGCTGAACGTCTCTCTCCTTCCGCCGAGGTATCTCCTAGGGCCGGCGAAGAGGAAGAGATTGATGCCAGCATCGAAAAATACATTTCTGAATTGACCGCAGACGAGAAGGATTCGGTAGAGGAAGCGCCCGTACCGGCCGAGCAAAGAGAGGAAACTCCCGAAGAACGTGAGGAACGGTTGCGCCTTCAGAAAGAAGAGACTCAAAAGAAGCGTGCTGAACTTATAGCTCGTCATGAGCAATGGGAGGCCGACATTCAGACATTGGGTAGCTCGTTAAAGGATTCGGTTATTTCCTCGCTTCTACGACTCCGAGAGTCTGCTGTTGAGGAAGCACGTGCACCCAATGGTCCCGTTCGTTCCCAAATTGAAAATCTGAGTGCCGAGGCTGAGAAGAACATGAAGGCTCTGAAAGCATATGGAAAGAAATTGGAGAATGCAGAGGAGAAGGATGAGCCCACGAAGATCAAGGCTTGGGAGAGCGTTGTTGGCAAGGTCGAGAAGAAGTTCAGTCAGAAACTTGACGAGGCTTCCACCACCCTCCAAGAATGGTGGGTTGCACAAGTGAACAATGAAATGAGAGAGGTGAAAGCGCTTGTCTTCTGAATAGGGATCAATTGTTAACTCTAGCTTTTTTAATCATAGATCGATGCGATAGCAACCGAAGTCTATGACTTGGCTACGCAGGCACAATCTGACTTGGGAATGGACTATGCATGGTTGCCCGATGTGACGTATCTTGACTGGCAGGTAAGTTTATTATAGTGAATGAATTCGTGCCTTTGGTTTACTTTTTAACAATGATATTTTCAGCGTTATCATAAGTTGGTTGATAGTGAGTTTAGTCCTTTCCCTCCGGATCTTGTTTGTTTACTCTTGTTTATAGCTAGCAAACAATTCATGGCTATATACGTAGGCCTTCAAAACGGCACTCTCGAGGACGCACCTGCGAACGCATTAACAGAAGAGGTGGAAGCGCTCCAAGAAGAAGTCGACGACATGCTCCTTGGTTGGGAAGCCAGCCTCGGGATCGTCAAACGTGCCGTGATGGACAAGTTCTCTATTGATGCAGGTATGTATCCTTTCCGCTCGCATTTACTTCTTTGTGTCTAACCCGACGGTTTCGCTAGGCACCGACACTGAGGCCCCACCCGCATCGACCAAGTCAGCCGAGCCTGAAATATCCATCCTTCCAATTGGACCGGGTCCTAACAAGGAGGAGAGGAACGCAGGGCTAGAAGAACTATCCGAGGCAATTCTAAATGCTGATCCGGTTGAGATGAGGGAAGCGGCGGGTAGAGCTGCGGCAGCGATCCATGAGGAATTATGAGCCGCTTGTAGGGGAGCATGACATTCTTTAACAATATTTCCCAGACTTTCTTTAAGTATATGTTTTTTTTTTTTCCATTGGATTCCTTCTCGATACTTGTACTCCGCATCTTCCTCTTTTATTTTGATTTATCGCGTCTTGTTTCTCGCGTACCTGTACAATAGAACGTTCGGGAGGATCTATGTTTGGACAGGGAATGGATTTTGAATCTGGCGTGCTGTGTGTAAGAATCACGTGAAGATTCCATGAGGAGCTTGGATTCGAAATTTTGAGCCGCTTGGCGGACCGTCCTGAATCTCCGCTGCCTGCTAAGAATAACAGTCGGGTTGGCCAGAAACTCTCTTTGACAGCGGCTTATAAGGCCCCTGGACAGTAGTACAAAGCTTCGTCTATTCCCCTTCTGAGTTCTTGGAGGTTGCAAGCATGACCTTAGTCGCGGTAAGTACTAAGCCCTGCTTGATCTAACAGATTATAAACTTAGACTGATCGAAACTTTTATCGTTTCGCCACAGGTCACCCCAGCCAACGATGCACCGAACGACGAGCTCATAACGAATGTCGCTGTGCGGCCAAAGGTGGAATTCTCATCGGCGTCGAACTTCTTCTCGAGCTTCTGCGCACGGTTCAAGAGTCTGTGGACCAGGAGGTTTACGCTCTCGTTAATATTTGGGCAAGTGGTCTCGTTATGTATAACGTGCACGAATGTCACGACGACGGAGTTGGTGCAGAGGAACTGGGCGAATGCCACAACCCAAACGTTTTTCTTGTGAGTGGCAGGGCTCGATTATCGAATGTGTATATGCTGATTCATCTATAAGGTATTTCTCCCTATTTGTAGTTTATACACCATACACTATGTATCAATGTACGCGCACGTTCGCTTCCTATTGTCGACTTACTCATGTTCTTCCCAGATGGAATGAAAGGATGGGCGAAAATGGTGTTCCGGGATGGCTGGAAATGTATGCAAACAACCACTGTTCGTATGAAGGTTGCCTCTGACTATATTCGCAGATTTCATTTTGGCAGCCTGCGACGTCGAAGGAAACTTCCTGGTAGTGAAAGTGGGTATTAACATTTCCCCGGGGACCGGAGCTCACATGATTTCGATGATTAGGCATACCAATACACCACCCTGTTGTCGTGCATGCTTCTTGATGCGTGAGTTTCTTCTGTTTAGATTCGTTAGAAATCTGCTTACTAAAATCTTTCGACGTGCAGTTGGGCCATCCCTGTTTGTTTGTTCTTTGCGTGGCTTTTCATGCGGCCTAAATATCATTGGACCCAAATATTGGTAAGATCAACGGAATTTCCTTACAATAAACAAATACTGAAGGAAAATACAATTCCTAGGGTATCTTGGTGTGCATTGCCGGCCTAGGATTGCTTGTCGCTTCCGACAAGATCACGGACAAGGATTACGCAGCTGTCAGCTTGGTCAAAGGCGATATTTTCATGATTGTCGGAGCCTCGCTATATGGCTTTAGTAAGTTGGCTTCACATTTTTATTTTAGCCGATACCTTATTTCTATTATTATCTAGCCAATGCAACCGAAGAATTCTTTGTGCGAAAATCTCCTTTATATGAGGTTTGTTGGGTTTCTGCATCTTTCTGTGATCTGAAAATTTATGTCTTCTTATTTCAGGTCGTCGGACAGCTTGGGATGTGGGGAATGATTATTAACGGTGTCCAGGCCGCCAGTCTCGAACACAACCAATGGTTGACTTCAAACTGGGACGGCAAAGTTAGTGAGTATCACATTAATTAATCTCGTATCTCTAACGTCTCTGGAATTAAAAAATTAACCAATGTGTTTAGTTGGGTTACTATTCGCCTACACTGCAGCTTTGTTTATATTATACACTGTTGCGCCATGGATATATCGGCTTTCTTCGTCCGCGTTCTACAATATTAGTCTCCTAACTAGTGACTTCTATGGATTGCTGTTCGGATTATTCCTCTTCGTATGTTCAAATTCGCTAATATCTCACCTATTTTATTGACATCTGTTCACAGCATTACCGTCCCTTCTGGCTTTACTTCCCAGCTTTCGTCGTCGTTATTGCCGGGTTGGTTGTCTACTTCTGGCATGCAACACGTGTGTCTTTGTTTCTACTTCGCTTTATTCCATTGTGCTAACAATGACCTCCCTTGTAGCGGAAGATCAAGGAAAGCTTGATCCTCAAGCTCCATCATACGTCCTAACCCGTGCTCAACGCCGAATGGGGGATGAAGAGCAAGTTCCATCTTCGCAAGAACAGCAAAGCAGGGACAGTAAAGAAGAAGAAGAAGAAGAAGATGTTAAAGCGTCTAGAGGCGGGTATGGTTTATAATGTCAAGTTCATGATTCTATGATGCTTTATATCGTTTCTTCCCATTCTCGGCTGTATCTTTCGATTCATGTCTCGTTTCTCCGTTGCGTTTATTTGCTTGTTTTGTTGTGTCTTGACTTGCTGGTTATAATAATTATAAATAGAACTCAATGACGAATACTTCTAGTGAGCATATTAACCCTAGGCTCGGAGTCGAAGGCGTACGAATAAGTATATTTGCATACCAAATAAAGGAGGTTCCGCCAGGATACAAAGGATACTCTTATTTTTATCGGCGCAATAGCTCAGCTGGGAGAGCGACAGACTGAAGATCTGCAGGTCCCCGGTTCAATCCCGGGTTGTGCCAGTGTGTTTTTGCTTTTATTCATCATACCATTTTGTTTCCCTCGAAATGTATATAAATTGTATTGATGTGCGGATCCCTTTCGTATCATTTCTCGTAAGCTCGATCTGGAGTTTCCCAGGTAAGATGAGATGTTGGTAGAAAGCTCCTCGAGTAAGTAACTGCTATCTTCTGGACTCGTGGGCCTTCGGAATATTACTAGGAACCATTTCAGCCACTAAATCCAAAACCAATCGGCGAGACTTTTTAAGCTAGAGGGGAATGTTATTTTTTGGAAACTTACTAGCTTAAATGAAACTGGAGTAAAGATATCTAGATAGTATCAGTGAGTAGAATTTGCATATAAGAGCATGGAATCCACATTTAAATTCGACTTACCCTGCGCCTGGCAGTCAGTAAGGGGAGAGGGGGAGGCATAATTGACTATATATTATATTGGAAAGGGAGTGTGGGTTTGATCGCTGCATGGACATGCTGTGCACATGTCCAAGTAGCAAAGCCGCCTTGCGCCTTGTAACGTAGTAAGTAGACAAGTAAATGGTTTAATAAAATAGATTCATTCGTGCAATGACACTGCGAATAATCTACGTATTTATTCATGATACATATAGAATGCTGAAGCTGAACATAAGAGTTATCACTTACATAAATAATCAGTGTAATAATTCGTCGTTGAGCAGAAGCAAACCCTGACCAAGTTGCTCCCGCCCCTCCGTAACATCGTAAGTAGTTTATTTCATCCACACAGTAACGCTCTAAATAATACAAATATTCATTCACGATACATATAGACTGAAGTTACGACGGTCCCCAGATGCAGCTAATAGTCAATAATCCGTCGATCGTCGAACGGAAGCAGATTCCTGACCAAGTTGCTCCCACCGGGCGCAAAATATGACAGTCAGGGTCCTCACACCATAAATCATGAATATTCGAATGCTTACAACATAAATTTAAGTCTAGATGTCTTACGTGAGGAGGACCCTTGGAAACGAATAAATAGGGGAGCGGGGACGCAGGGAGAGGACAACGCTCTACCACCACCATTTTCACTTCCCTCCCCTCCCCCCCCTTCTTCCTTGCATGTCCGCTGTGGTGTTTCAATGATTCTTAAAATTGTAGTATCTTTTTGAAGCTTTGTATAGTCCTTATTATCTTCTTTCATTGTCGCTTTCTCCTTGTCGTTGTCATCTCATGACTGGCACCTGCCACACAGGAAGTACCAAGGGATTTTCTGCCAAGAAAAATGTTAAGAAAATCTTAGAAGTCAACCCCATCTCTTCAGTGTTTTCCCAAACATTGAAGGAAAACTAAAAGAAAACCAATATTTATTAAGGTTTTAACACAGTTCATGGGAAAACACTGAAGAAATGGGGTGCACTTTTAAGGTTTTCCCAGTGTTTTCCTCTTGGAAAACCCCTCCATGCCTCCAGTGCCGCCATCGACACTCCATCTAGGTGGATCCAGCTTCTTTCTTTCTTCTTTCTTCTTTCTCCTTTCCTTTCCTCTCTCCATCCCATCATGTGCATGCATTGTCTTGGTCGCTCTCCCGAGCAACGTCGAGTAATTACGTCGCAATGACAAAATGCGTGACTTTACCCCCGTCTTCGCCGCATTACCTCTGGCTCTGTTTATGCACCAGCGCTTGTGTCTGATTGGATGCAACGTGGCTGCAACATCCAGGCATGCGACGAGGGTTCAGCAGGAGTCGGCTGCGCAGGTTGGACCTCAGGCATCGAAGTCGGGCTCCAGTCTCCATTGCGTGCATCAGGGGTGCGGAGGTGGTAGGAATCCTTCCCTTTCTCGTTCCTTCCCTTTCTCTCCATTCGCTATGCATTGCATTGCTTTGGTCGTTCCCCGGAGCGATGTCAAGCAATTGTGCCGCAATGACAGATTGCGTGACTTTACCCCCGTCTTCGGCCTATTATCTCTGGCTCTGTTTATTCTCATTTTGAGGATACCAGATGCAACATTGCCTGCAACATCCAGGCATGCGGTGACGAAGGTTCATACGGGAGTCGGTTGCGCGGGCTGGAGCCAGGGCATCGAAGTCGGGCTTCAGTCTCCATTGCTTGCATCGGGGGAGGTGAGGGTAGGGAATGGGAACTTATTATCTAAATATATATATATTTGTTACTGAGTGGACCCATCCTTTTCTAAGATGCTAGTCTCTTTTTGATGTTTCGTTTTCAATATCTTCACGCCGACTACGACCTTTCCCTCTAGCTTTCGTTTTTTTCTACAGCCTTTCCCTTCAATGTAAGTCTTTTTTCGACGCTTTCTATCGTCTCTTTTATTAACATTATTTAGATAACGCAACTCGTATTCACACCGCATCGGTGTCTCTTACTTCAGGGGTGGGTCCAGCTTTTTCTCCGCTCATATTCCTTTCTCTCTTGAGTCATAGAACTGTGCACTCAGTGGTCGTTCTCCGGCGCGCTGTCATGGACTGATAAGCGATCTGTTGTAGACTTGACCACGGGCATTAAAGTCGGGCTTGAGGCTCCAGATTGCTTTATGTGCTAGTATGACCCGGAGAAGTACTTGAAGAGACGATACAGGATGAGAAGGGGTTATTCAACGTTCAGATTAATATTGGTTACTGATCATGCTGGACCCGTACTTTTTTAGATAGTCTCTTACTGAGCTTCTCGACGGGTTTCGTTCTGAACAACTACCATTTTGCTAAATGTTTTCGCTTCAATGTGAGTATCTTTCAAAGCTTTCTATCAATTCTTAGCATTAATATGCTTATAAATTTTCTAGACGATATTTAGTGTTCAGTTCTTCTCATTGATTACAGTATTGAAGTCTTGGTGCTAGTGCGCTGTAATTAATCAAAGTCGAGTATAATAATACAATTACAATTATGATTGATATGATTCAATTCGCTGATTCTTTTCAACAGTTAAAATATTGATTGTTTAAGTACTTTGCATATACAGAAACTATTGGGCTCTCAGGATTATCTCAGGCTTAACCTTGTTGATACACGATGATCTTGTCAACACAGGAGGCTGGTCAAAATTTTCCAGGTCAGAAAATGGCCTGGAAATTTTCAGGATTTGGGTATATTTTCCAGATACTTTCCAGCCCTGGAAAATGCCTGGAATATAACTTTCTCCCATAATTTTTCCTGACATAATCCAGCTTACAAGGTATTTTCCAAACAAATTCCAGATATTTTCCAAGGTCTGGAAAATGTTTGGAAGATACACTCAAATCCTGCCATTTTCCTGACCATTTTCTACTCTGGAAAACTTTGACCAGTCTGCAGTGCAAGGTCAGTGTAGGAATTGAGACAAAATACCACTCGTTCAAAGACAGTACTCACTGATCTGTCAAGACACACTAGAGTATTAAAACCACTCTTAAGATTAAGCTTTACAGGGACGCTGATGGGCGCCCTACCAGTTTCAGAGTGCTTAATAACTATGACAGATCCTCCGTTCACGCTATTTCGGCGTAATGTTAGCAGAGATTATAAGCACTGATGGCTATACACTTATTGAGATGCATCCCAAGACCGATTCCGATTTAACCAGCACACGTTATTAATATGCTTGGGTGAGGGATTCCAAATGTAAGTACTCTTCTATCACTATCTAGTTTGCTTCTTAAAGACAAGATATTTCTTTGATTATTTAGAGCAAAGATCATGAAGTACACACCATACGTATGCCGGAATTTGCCTATCCTAGAGTATTATGCCTTTGTCAATTCACGAACCAGAACACATGTCCGATGACGGAATATTGCAGAAGAGCATGCGATGGGATTGAAATGATCGGTCTCCGTTGACATAAAAAGCGTTACAATTGCAAATTTTTTTCGATCGTGAAGCTGAACTGAAGTCTCTTTTGCGGGATACAGGTGAATTTCGTTCATCGCTACGGGTGACGATCAAGGGGTGTACAAAGTCTGGTTATTGATGTCAGTGGGTCAGAGGCTTGCAGGAAAAAGCACCCACTTTATTATTCATCACACGAACTTGTGAAGCCAAATATTCTTTCAGCAAGTCTAAATATAATATAAAGGATTAAAACCTTTATAATGACCTGTTGACCCGACTGCGAAGAAAGGAAGGTGAAAGTCGGGAATAGAAGGATTATTCAGCAGTATTGTATAATGGAGTTGTTTACATGGACTCACGGAGGCACTCTGGCATCATTAGTAGTCATGACTGCTGCAATGCATTTCGATCATATAATAGCCACTACCTTCAGTGTATTTTCTTAGAATCACAGCAGTGTCTCCTATAAAACGTTTGCAACGTGGTAGCCGTTCAGGACACGCTTCAATATGTTCCGCTAAGTACTATAACCACCCCAGGGCTCGATATCCCAGGAGCATTCCCGAAATCGCATACCGGTATGTCTAATAGCGCGATACATGACGATAAACATTTGACAATACACTCGTAAGCAATGAATCGGAAATTACGTCGATAGCTGCCGAGACAGCTCAGTCGGCCGCTGCTGAACAGGTCCTAACGGCAGCGGAACTGCGAAGGAGTACATCCCCGAACAGCGTATTTGGAGCGCCTATAGAGTGTCGGAATCTTCTGTAAGTCTGACTTGGATCCTTTGTCCCTCCTTTAAAAGCTTGAATCTCACTGAAAATATCCACAACTACCCCAGAACCTGCCGACGCGAAGAAACCATATTTTCCAAGCCAAGAATCGAACGCTTAACTTTGAACCCACTCGTACCGAAGGCATAGGATTTCTACCAGGAAGCCGAATCGAATCTGCCGTTACCCAATTGCCACTCTATCACGAAGTCGAATCCACGAATATGTCTGCCACTGAACAGAACGTTGCAGGTACGTCATAATGCTTTATTTTCAATATGTTCATTAACGCGAATCATAGCTGACGCCAACCCTCTAAACCGTGCTGAAGCCAAGAAGGCCCCTACCATGGTCGTGAATGACCCTTCCTACGATAAGGACCCTCACGCTACCGCAGACGCCACCCTCTCACCTCCTCAACCGTCCTCTAC